GGAGGGAAGTCGCTCGGCTGACCCCTGGCCCGCACCAACCCGCTCGCTCCACCCACCCACCCTGGCCTACCGCCACCCCTCCCTAACTTCTGGCCACCCACAAGTGTAGACGTGGGTATGAACACATGTGGAAGAGGAAGCCTGGGTGTGAATACGCATGTGGGAGAGGGAATCATGGCTGTCACACCTGTGTGAGATGGAGGGGTGGTGAATAGAATAGGTGGTACTACCTATAGAAAGGGCATGTGAGTGGAAAAGGAAGCAGGTTGCACAGGGATAGAGAGGAAGAACTTGGGTGTGAACACATATGTAGGGCCAAGGGATGGTACATATATGAACGATGTGGGTTCAGGGAGTGGCTAAAAACCCCCTCCCAGTCCTCCTATTACCAAGATCCTCGTTCTTCTGGGGGATCCCAGGCCCTCTGCTCCCAAAGATAGCCCTGACATTGGGGTCCGTTGCTAAGTGATCCTGGAGGTCAGTAAGGAGGTGCCGCACATCCTGGAGCAGCTCGGTGGCGGGGTCCCCAGGCCTGTGGGGGCCCTCAGCTTCTGATGTGAGGCGTGCCTGAAGGCCTCGGAACTGCCTGGCCACATAGCTGCTCCGGGCCCTGGCCAGAGCCTGGACATGACTAGTAAGCACATCCTCAGGTCCTTCTTCTTGGTAGTCCTCCTCCTCCTCCCCCAGGCTGGCCAGAGCTGGCCCAGGATGGTGTACTTCTGGGCTGAGCGGGCCTTCCACCCAAGAGACCCGATGAGGGGCGGTGTTCCTGGGGGCTGAATGTGAAAACAGGGTTGGTCCCACGGAACCGCAGCAGCAGCTTCCTCATCTCCAGGACCCAGGGCCCTGCCCAGCTAACCTGGATCACTTATCTTGGTAGTCTCTGGAGCTGTCTCTGGGGGAGATATCGTCCCTTGCCCTCTGTGGGTCTCCAGGTAGAGCTTGTTCACCACAGAGATCATCCTCTCTGAGGTGTTGAGTTGGACACTGCCATTCTGCAGAGTATCTGAGGGCCAGCAGAAGTGAGGTGTCCCTGATGTCCAAGGGGCCAACCCTGGTCCCTTCAGTGCATCAGGAGACTTAGTTCCCAGCCTTATTACTGAAAGAGCTGTGGTCTGGGCCTTGGCTCATCCTTATTCAGGCCCAGGAGTCCCGCCTCCAGCTCTCTCAGATGTCCTTCCTTACCCTCCCTCAAACCTAGTAGTTGGTCTGCCAACTGCCATCCTCTGGGACCAAGTAGGCAGAAAGTTGGTCTCTCCCTCCCTTAGAGAACCATGCCTCACCTGTGTGTTGTTCTCCAGACCCTAGAGTGGGAGGGGGCAAGAGCAGTGTTCTGGGCAAAACATCCCTGAGGAAAGAGAAGTAGGAGCTACAATGTGGGTAGGTGTTTTAAGGAAGGATCCCCCTTAGCCCTTTTGATGGGTAACTTGTACCTGCTGGCTGACAGGAAGGCCAGGAGATGGGGCAGGTCTGGCATGCAGAGGTGAGAGGATTCCAGAGACACACCTAGGGAAGGGGGCCAGGAGGGACAAGTTAGAAAACATGAGGGGTGGCAGCCTCCTCTTCCCTGGGACTCTCTCTTCCCAAGTCCTGAACCCCCAAGAACCTTCAGAACGGGGGAATTTCTACTCCTTGGAGTCTCCATATTTTCCTGCGTCTTTAGGCTTGCATCTCACTTATGCCACCAAATATTCATTCATTGGACATATAAGTATTTATTGAACACATTTTTATTCCCAGATACTGGGGATACAGTTGTCAAAAAGCAGACATAATCACTGCCTTCCTATGGCTTACCTTTCAGTAGAGGAAGACAGAAAATAAATGAGTAGAAAAATAAAGGTAAGTGAAGTATATTATATTGAGTGCTATAAACAAAATAGAGTAATTGAAAATGACTAGGGCTTTCTTAACTCTGGCGGTCAAGGAAGGTTACATTTCCACAGAGGGCTGAAGGATGGAAATAAATCAATCATTCAAAGAAGAGCATTAATTTGGGGTAAACAAATGCAAAGGCCCTGAGGCTAGGACTCATCTAGTGAGCCCGAGGAACAGAGGAGAGTACAGTGTGGCTGGAGCAGAGTGATCGAAGGGCGGCAGATGGAGAGAGAGGTGGGCAGGTTGGTACTGAAACACCTTATAACCCATGATGAGTTTACATTTTTAACTAAGGATATTGCATATCCTTTAAGAGTTTAAAACAGAAATATATAACATCTGATGGACTGAAATACTACTTTGGCTGCTGTGCCCAGATTGGATTGCAGGAAGGAAAGGGTAGGCACGGGGATACCAGAGAGGAGGCTACTGAAATTGTCTGAGAAAAAGGTGATGATGGCTCAGACTAGGGTGATGAAGGCAGAGAGGACTGGGGACAATTGGGAGATATTTTGGAAGTAAAGTTGGCCATTCTTGATGATAAATTTGCTATTGACTACAAACTCGGGGGTAGGCACCTCACCTCCAGGAAGCTTCTGGATCTGGTAGGTGTTGACTTCCCCTGGTGAAGGTCCTGTTCTCAACACCAGGACCTGGCTGGGTTCATGTCCTGTGACCAGAAAACTCTGTGGGGAGGAGAAAAAGGTCAGCATGAGGAGGATTTGTGCAGATGTGTTACTTTTGCCTGCCTAGCATCTACTTCCCTTATTTAGGGCTCCACACTCCAAGTTTCCTCTAAAGATCCCCACCCCTTCTCAGTCAGTGTGGGTGGGCTGACTCCCCACAAGTCCTCAGAGTGAGTCCATGATCTGAGCTAGCCAATAGGATGACAGTGCTCTCTGACCACTGTGAGTAGTTCAGAGATGGGCATGTGACCCAAGCTCAGCCAATGGGAATCTTCCACAGGAATTTTGCTGAAGCTCTTTGGGAAGAGGCCTTTTTTTAAAAAAAATAGTTTATTGATTTTTTACAGAGAGGAAGGGAGAGGGAGAGAGAGAGAAACTAATGTGGGAGTGTAACATTAATCCCCCCCCCCCCACACACACACTTGGGGATTAAGCCTGCCACCTGGGCATGTGCCCTGATCTGGAATCAAACCAGCAGCCTTTCGGTGCATTGGCAACACCCAACCAACTTAGTCACACTGGCCAGGGCAAGAAGCCTTTTACAATGGAGTTGCTAATCTGTTGAGGTGTGGTGCTGCGCTAGGGACAGCCATCTCAGACACCATAAGGAGAGAGCTCCCTCAAGGAGGGAGCTATGGTAGACCCGTTAGTTGTCTTATCCAAATCTATCCCCTATTCCTTGCAGAACCCCAACTTTGTACAGGGCATTAATATGCACAGCCATAGAAGATGAATAATAGTCAGTGGTTTCCCGTCTCTGGCTGTATAATTCCTAGATGAGCTTTAAAAAATATTGCTACTGGGCCCCATCCATATATTCTGAATCAAATGTAAAGGCTATTGCTTTTGCTGATAAAAGAAACAGATGCAACTGGTGCTTCCTTTCTTCCCTTCTGGCCTGGAACACACACATGTGCTTGGACCCGGAGCAGCCACTGGGCAACTATGGGAAAGTCCAAGAGAACTGCGGACGGTGCCCTTGATGCCACTTAAGGTGCTGAACTAGAGCCAGCAGTTGCCTTTCTGGTTATGTTAGAAAGATAAATGCTGTCCTGGCTGGTTAGAGCATCAGTGCACACACCGAAGTGTCGTGGGTTCGATTTCAAGTCAAGGGCGCATACTTAGGTTGTGAGTTAGATCCCCGGTTGGGGCGTGTGCGGGAGGCAATCAATCAATGTGTCTCTCTCACATAGATGTTTCTCTTTCTCTCTCTCTTCCCCATCCTTCCCTTTCACTTTCTCTAAAAATCAATGGAAAAATATCCTCAAGTGAAGATTAATAAAACAAAATAGCAACAACAACAAAAAGAAATAGCCTGGCTGGCATGGCTCAGTGGTTGAGCGTCAACCTATGAACCAGGAGGTCAAGGCACATGCCCGAGTTGCAGGCTCAATCCTCAGTGTGGGGTGTCCACGAGGCAGCCGATCAATGATTTCCCTCTCTCTTCCTCTCTGAAATCAATAAAAATATATTTTTAAGAAAGAAATATAAATGCCTATTTGTTTAAACTACTATAGAATGAGCATTTGTTACTTACAGCCCAAAACATTCAGAATTCCCCACAGTTTAAAGCAAAGCAAAGAATTAGGATGAAGAGAACTGTATAAGTTGTCTGATACTCAGGATCCAGGCGTTCCTGAAATTCTGGGTTTTTCAGTCATTTGAATCAATAAGTAGCCTTTTTGGTTTGGCCTGTTTGTGTATGTCACTAACAACCAGCAGAGTCCTAACTGATCCAGGGTGTCATGAGAGGGTCAGAAAGGGTCTCCAGCTATGAATACTCACCCCGGGTGGCCACAGCTCCAAAAGGGCTTCTGCAGCCGGGGCATCCAGCTCTGGGATCTGCCACACTCCCCAGGTCCTCTGCAGTCGAAGAAGTGGCTCTGGGGCCCTGAGGACCCCTAAGCAGGTCTCACCTGCTCCATTCTCCTGTGATGGGACCAGTCTGGGAAGTGCAGGGTCCAGGAGACCAGGGGTCAGAGATGGGCAGTTGGACACTGAGGTGGGATCAAGGGTAGGAAAGTAAAGCCTGGGGGTGAGGGATCAGAGATGGGGTAAGGGGTCCTGTGCGGGGCACCAATTGGATGGAAGTGGTTTCTGAATCCAGGGGCAGGAAATGGAGACTTCAGCCCCAGTAGTACTCACCTCTCCCCATTGGTGGGGCATGCCAAGGCTTGGTCCTCTGGCTGAGCCATCCTCAGGATGTAGGAGGCCAGCAAGCCATGGCCTGGCCTCTGGCAGGGAGGAAGATAAGGCTCAAGGCTGCTCTAGTTCAGGGATTATGTTCAAAATATTTACAACCAACATGGCAGAGACCCTGACCAATTGGAATGGACCTATGGCTCCTTGCTGTGCCAGGTGTGAATTCTTCACCACTGGATGGCGGTGCACTCTGGGCGTGCCAGGAGGAAGGGCAGTGTGTCTTGGGGTAGCGGGAGAGGGAGAGGACTCAAAATGACAAACATTTACCAAATGGTAGGGAAATATTTCAGGTTTTAATATCCAGTGCAGCCGTGTGAATGTGGACCAGTTGAGTAACAAGCCTAGCCAAGACCCAGTGCCTAGTAGGCTCCATGAGACAAAAGTTATACAATTTCCCCTCCTCCACCCTTTCCAGACCACAGAGGGGCCCTCAAATATTGCCCCATTATTTTTTTTTATGAAAAATTTCAAACATTACAAAAAATAACGGAAAAGAATTTATAGGGAACTCCCATATGCCCACTACCTAGATTCTACCATTATTTTAATCTTTGCTTTCTCACATAGACATCCCTCTATCTGTCCATCGGACCCCAACTCTTAACCAGGTACAGAGTCCTATAGTGGGCATTTTTGAACATTTCCCCTGTAGCACTCCCAGGTGTAGGAAACCTGGGACCATGCATCCAGGTGTCCATGCATCCCACAAATATTGAGTACAGGCCCAGAATTAGGTGCCTGTGGCTTGGGGACAGAATAGGCCTGCTCTCAGGGGGCATCCATCTTCTTGGGGTGGGTAGAGAACATGGATAATAAACAGCTTAACAAATCAACCAGCCCGCTGACCAGAAGCCCACGGTGGTAGGAAGGGGGAACCAGAGCAGGTGCCCTGTCCAGGGAGGAGCAGGCAAGAGGGGTGGGGGAAGGAGGCAGGTGCTCACCTGGGTCCCATGAGAGGGGAGGAGGAGGTGGTTGGTGCTGGGCAGAGCAGGATGGGGAGCTGCTTAATACCAAAGGTGGCACAGGGGGATAACCATGCCAGCTGCTGGGTCCCTGGGGGCCCCTACCTGTTCTCCGAGGGGAGGCCTGAAGGAGCAGGAAGTGAAAGTATTTCCTCACAGAGAGGAAGCTGAGCTGGCTGGGTGGGGTGGAGGGGGGGAAGAGGCGGAGCTGGGGGGGGGGTATCTGAA